AGGGTTTAGGGTGTTGGGTGTTGGGGTTATACCTTAACCTGAAACTGCACCGAAAGCCGTAAACCCTAAGCCCTGTAGATTTTAAGCTTTATGAGGGTTCGAATACCTACAGTACAGTACATGTTTTAGGCCCAGATGGATTCCTATGCACCTATATTTTGAAGTCTAGACTTTAAGGTTCGAGGCCTCGCTCTAGGGTTTGTGGTTTAAGGGCGGTTTAGGGTTGAAGGCGCTGCTCTATTATTCTAGCGATGCCTGAATTCTCAGTCTACTAGAACGTGGGCAAGGATCTTGGGAAAAGGTTTACCTAAGCCACAAGTACATCGTGTGTATATGCGTGTATGCAACCTGACATGCATATGCACTACTCACCGCTCAACATCACCGTCCCCTTGACTTGAGAAGCAGCAATGCAGGATGCTTTTCAAAAAGTCATGTACATACGCCTCGTGTAGGTGACGTAAGTAACATGTTAAGACAAATCAGGTCCACAATAGCCAATACGGGCGTAGTATCTCATCAGAGGGCGAGGTAGGTGACGGATCTCATCCGCACTACAAACAAATGTTGCTTAAAACTTGCCGCATTCTTGCGGTGCGAGGCTGTTTAGGGTTTAGGAATGAGGTCTATAGGGGTATGCAGGCGCTGTATAGGGATGTATGGGACTGAGAGTTTAGGGCCGAGGGTACTGTAGGGGCCTGCACCATTCAAATCGGGTTTGTCGCAGGATTCTTGGGGCTTTGGTAGCCGGGAGAGGGCTTGAAGTGAAGCCATGAAGCTATGATTTAAAAATCACAGGAAAGTGCTTTTGCTAGGCTTCTGCGATAAGCCTTGCTGGCCTTCATCTTGGATTAACCCTTTAGCTATAGACTATAAGATCTATGCGGGAGTCGCCAGAACGAAGCCGCACCCACGGCTAGCTGAACCCCCATGTCCTATGACCAGAAGAAAAGAGCCCTAAACCCGGGACTCAAACGAGAAAATCTTGGAAGTCCCGAAATCATAAACCCTTGACCGACACTCCCTACTTGTACGACTACTTGGTACTTCTGGCTGGGTCTAAGCAGAGTTACAAAAAGCACGACTGCAACTCGTCACGTCGTCACAGCTCTGCCTCCATGTCTCCGAACTTTCCATTGCATAATCTCCAAAAAACTCTTCACCATACCCCCACATAGCAATGAAGACTCCTTAGTAACTGCAACTTGACCCTCTGCAGGCTGGAAGCCCGCCGGCGGACGTTGGAGTACGCTTTGGCAGATCGCGAATGGAGGGCAGCGACGCAACGCATCGAATACCTGGAGGACGCCTCTTTTGGCGGTCGTCGTAGGATGGTACTAGGAGTAGCAGTGACGGCAGCNNATGCCGGATTTGGCGGTAGCGGTGCTGCTGGGTCAACAGGAGAGAAGTAGCAGGCGAAGGTGAAATTTCTTTGAATCATTGAAGCACTAGACCTGGCGTCATCGTCATCGTATGTCATTTTAAGCCACATAGGTAAGAGTGGTCATCCAGCGCAAGAACAACAAGAAAAGCAAGGATTTCTAATGCAATCCGCATTCCTTATGCAACTATAGCACTGCACTCTTCCCCAAACCAGATTCCAAGTGTTCAACTCAGAGCCCTGCATTAGTCGGTTCTGGACTTCGCCTGGCAGGGGCAATCCTCGTCCAGATACGTATAGCAGGGAGAGGGAAAACCCTGGCATAGTACACTTACCAAACTTACCAGCCAGAAAGCCTTGTTATGTTTGCAGCTCAACTTCCATCCGCAATGCTTTAATCTAGAGGCACGGGGACTGAAGCTCTGATGCCTAAGCTCGAGAGCTGTGCGCGTATTGCGCGTGTCGCTTGAGAATTGGTATTCTACTGCTGGCTTAAGACATGTTGCGCTACCTTCAAAACGCGAAATTTGGGAGCTACCTTTCTGCACCTCGCCTTTTTGAATGCATGTCCAATGAATGGCACCCCTTGCTGCAACAGCTTCCTGCTTGCAAGAGGAAGCTCTACTTGTGAGATATGATGCAACCCAAGTCGCCGTGCCCTTACGTAACTCATCCCCTTTCCCGAATATTAAAATCATTAAAACCCCTCCACCCTCCTGAGATGAAATGTTTCCATTGCGGTATGCTATAACATATTTCGAAAATTAATGTTGCGGTGGCTGGTGGGTTTTGAGCATTAGAGGGGGTCGGGAGCGGATTGAACGGACGGATGGCAGGACAAGAAGAATGAGGCCTCCGTGGAATTGCGCCAGCATCAAGGTACTTGAGCTGATGTGGTGTTGCAAACTCAAAAAGTTAGAGCAACTAGAGCCCATGCCATATGCAATAGGAACCCCAAAATGGTTTATAATTGTAATTAACGGCCCACTACTCTAACAGGTATAGCACTGTTTTGGTACTCCGAAATGCGAGGTGAGAGATGCAAGAGAGCCTGCGATGTTGAGAATGGCTGACGTTTGTGTCAGCCACCCTGCTTAAGGCGAAACACCCCCTTCACATTGCCAAGAATGGATGGGCTTAGTTAATTGTAAACGCTAGCGC